CTCTACATACAAAGCAAATACTTACTGACACCTAAAGCGCAGGAAATTAAATCAATATGACAATGATTGATCATCGGCCTATAATTATAAGATTCCATGTTAGGTTTCCATATCTGTGCACATGCTGGTTCATATGTATCGACGCAAAATGTGGGACACGTATGGTTGCAGGCCTGATGAGCACCGACAATACTAAAATCGTTAACCCTTCGCCCGCTACTATACGGGTATTTGACTCTATGTTTAATGTTACAGAATCTGTCCGCAACTTGATGTACATCTGTAATTCATTATTTTATATTTTAGATGCCGCCCGCGACTGAGTCCACGTGAAATTAAAAAAAAATTGTAGCCTATATGTTCATCCAAACCCTGCTCTACATATATGCCAAATTTAAGTAAGATCCATATAGCCGTTCTGGAGTTACCTTTAACAAACATCCACCCATACATACATACAAACATTTGCATTTATAACATTAGTAAGAATAAGATGTACTTTTATCATGCAACAATTTGGCGCATAAATAAATCTGTCGTTTTTAGTTACCTATGTATGGTTTTAGTTTGCATTTAATTCTTTTCAAATGGCATGCGTTATGAAACAGTCTAATGACGCTGATGCCATTAGCAGTGCGAGCCACACCGCAAACCTCGTCAAACACGTTGGAACAGGAGATTGAAGAACATTCTCGGTCACTCATATTCATTCTGATATCTGTAAATAAAAATGTTACAATTGAATGTTTAAATATGAGTTTCCATTAGCAAAACACTCCTCTAAAAACATACTATCGTTCTTATTTTTCTCTTGAAAAAGAACAAAGAACAATATGTTTACGATAATTGTTTCTTGTTCAAAAACTTTTAATTTCAATACAAACTTACGGTTGGTTTCTGAGAATAAAATCTTTGTATTAAGCTTATCATCCCTGTCATCTTTAGCAAAATAGAGATAACAATAAATTTTAAATGAGAATTTTGGTTTTAGAAACCAACGGTTAGTCCAATAATTTAAATCTGGTGCAATTGTTCACATTTAGTACTCAAACATAATTTCAAACAATATAAAATATTTTAAAACGTGTAATTTAAATATTTTACTATTAAATTGGTTATAACTTACAATGGAATATAAATAATAACTTTATTGTAACACGAACAAATATATTCATGGTTTGAAAATATGAAATGTCAACGAACGGTTTGACGAATGTAATATCATTATAAATTCAATTAAATTTATCAGATTTACTGCGCGTGTGATTACTTTGATGCACGTTTCCAGTTTTGTTCAATTTATTGATATTTATGTTTATAAAAGTGATTTATTTTTAAAGTTTTATAATAGTCAGCTGCTTCGTTTTGATGTAAAAATTATATAGGAATCGTAAGAAAAAAAATGATTTATAAATTTGGAAAAACATCCGTAAAGCATATTTATATATCGATTTAACATTATTTTTATCAATTTCCTAAATGACAGATTTTAATGTATGTACATACTTAAATTGTCTCTAAGTTCAGTAACAAAGCTGCATAAAGAAGTTAGAATAAAATGTAATTTTTAGTATTTTATGTGTCAGTCAAACATATGATTATGGTCTCCCCCCTCTGCCCCCTCCCCTGTCACCCTCGCCCCTGTTCCCCTCGCTCCTCGCCCCTCGATCCTCTCCCCTCGTATCTGAGTATGTTGCGGATGTGATCACATATCGGAAATTTTTCCCCTGCAATAAGATTATTGTGAGACGGTATTGGTTTTTTCTTAAGTACACGAATAGGTTATAAGATACCGCTGTGAAAAATAAGCTTATTTCATTCTCATATCAATCAAAAAATATTGTCATGTATAAGAAGAACAAGAGTGATAAGAAAGGTGCATATTCACTTGTTTTCAAATGCAGGTTCAAATCTACATAATAGTTCAGCATAATCTTACATATATTGTAAACTAGCTGTCGCCCGCAACTCCGTCCGCGTGGATATATAAAAAAACTTAATTAGTGTAAGCCCACCCATCCATCCATCCACATCACATCCATCTAAACATTCGCATTTATAATATTAGTAAGTTATATAAAAAGCAGCTCTTCAAGGCATAAATTCGAAAAAAAAGAATAAATAGTATCGTATGTCCGTCTCCTGGCTTTAAGCTACCTTCTCAACAATTTTCAGCTATATCGGTAAAGCCGTTCTTGAGTTAATAGTAGTGTAACTAACACGACTTTCTTTTATATATATAGATTCTCGTTGTAAATTTATATTTGTATGTAAATAAATGTATTTAAATCAGACTACGAAGGCGTTAACGAAGGAATTGAGTTTCACGAATTTCACGAAATACACATTTCATTCACCAAACAAATTCAGGTAACGAAGTATTCATTCCCTGTATACGGCATTTAATCAGTATAATCTAGTCAATTTTAGTTTATAAACGAGTTAGAGTTTAACTTAAGTACAATTGTAGTTAATTTAAGTTAGTTACTAACAACTTTGCTATGTATCCTGAATGTAATAAATCCCTGGGAAAAAATATTTCTTACACATCATGTCTTTGCGTTGTTGATAAAAAACACAAATGTTTATTATAAAATGTTCGTCTGTCTGTCTGTTCGGAAAGCCGCGTCTGTTTCGGGTAATCTCCAAAACGGCTAGACTGATTTTGACGAGAAGCTAATGCATGGCTACTTTATGCGCTGTCTAGTCGCGGGCGACCGTTAGTCTGTTTTACTGCTTTACGCAAAGTTATTAATCTATTTAAAATAAAAAAATCTAAATTATGTGAAAATGTTTATTCTCAATTTTAATTAAGTTATCTCAAACTCGAGCTTATATCATTTTCCCGTAACGTTTGACTTTCTTTTGCTTTCCTTGGCTTGTAATGTTTGTTATTTAAAAAAACCGCTACACGTTTCCTACAACAAGGCAATAAAACAAAACACTTCCGAGAGCTTACACTAATCCTACATACGCTCGACATGAACTCGTTTTGTGAGAGATTTACCAAAATGTATCCCCGGCCTGTCTTGAATCCATAATTTAACTTTTTGTTTTGAGATCATATGCGTTTAAGTTACATTTAATTTGTTTGAATTTATCCTTCTAACTGGAACAATCACCCGCGACTCCGCACTCACGACATACACAAAAATCTTAATAAGCCTATGTGTTCTTCCAGTTTTTCTACATCTGTGCCAAATATCATCAAGATTCGTTGAGTTTTTCCGGAGATGCCTTCAAATAAACATACATCCATCTTTTCGCATTTATAATATTAGTAAGATAAATCGATTTGCTTTATGGGAATTGATTAATAGCATCATAAGTATTATCTTCATATCAATCAGCATCAATAACTCCATCCTACAGTTTACATTACCCTCGGGAGAACGATTGCATTATGAATGAGAAAATTAACCAGAGTATTTACTTTAAGAATCTTTATGAATTCGTAACGTCCCCAAAACAATAGCAGCATTTGAAACTCACATGTTTGCTAAACTTATAACCATAGACAAGACCTAAGACAAAAAAAGATTCTAGAGTTTGTTACGAGCAAACTTTAATAGTAATAAAACAATTTTACAGAAGCTTTTACCTTTCTTTTCAGTAGTAAGCTGTAGTTTAAATTATCGGCAATAGATACTTGATTCATATAATAAACAAATATTTCATTTTACTATTATATTTTAAAGAAGAAAATATGATGAGATACTAAGAAACAGATCAAACGAAAAATGAATATCTTATTGTTCCTTTGATATCGAATAAACCTTAATACAAAATTAATTTTGTAAATGTAAAAGCATTTTGATTCGATATAACAAAAGCTCTATTGTATATATTTAAATGAGAGCAAAACAATTCTTAAGAAAATACTTCAAACTCACGTTTCCATTGATTCAAAACTTTAAAGTGCACATACATTTCAAAACAAATAACAGAAAATTATCATAGGTGCTAAGTGATTTATCAATATGTAAACGATTCACCAGATAATAATCCACCACGTTTTCTATATTGTAACGAACGTATTTTTTAACTACATTTCATTGATTGTTATAAAATGTAATATATATATATATATATATATATATATATGATTAGTAATAGTTTAGTTGTCTGCATTATTATATTCTCAATAAAATAACGTGCGAATGTTTTGGGTTACCTATTAATCATATTACTCTTTTTCTTACAATTTTATTTTCCTACATTGTAGTGCTACTCTTTGATTACATATTTCATTACTTGTCAAAGAACAGTCATAGTTTGTTTTGATTTATTTAATGTATAATGCTTTTTGAAATTAAATTTATGTTTGGTGAAAAATGTCCATTTATATATACAATATAAATCGATTATGTTATTAATTTTACAAACAATTATCCAAATATACATATGGCTAGTCATTGTTCCGAGAATGGTTGCACTAGAAGATCCAAAAGATTGGAAGACAATAGAAATGGTAGCGGAGGAACATCCTTACGTTGTCGCCTTGCTGGACGGCGCGCTATTCTACATGTGTACTGGCACTATTATAAATGATCGCACCGTGTTAACCTCTGGTAAATGTCTTAAAAACGACTTAAAATATGTCGCAGTAACCATCGCGGCTTTCGACAGAATCTCAGTAAACAGTAATGTCTTCACGATCGCTTTTAAAAGAAGACACGGCGAATACTCCTTCCAATTAAAACCGAACTCCGACAGTGATGCAATCAAAATGCAAAATAATATCGGTCTCGTACTGACTGTGAAACCTCTACTTGAGTCGTTGGTGAGCCGGCCACGGATCGGTAATTTGAACTATAAGAAGTTAAAGAAAGCCGCATTGGTTGCTGTCGGTTTCGGGAAGATAAATAGACGAGTGATAGCCATACAGAAGCAAATATACCAAAAGGTGTCTTGTATAAATTCAAATTGGAACAATTGTGTTTGTGGAATAGAGGAGGATTCCAATTTGAGAACTTATGTGGATCAATTCGGTGAGGGAGGACCGGTGCTGTTGGGCTCGGTAGTAGTTGGAATAGTATCGTTTCCATGTGCCTCAATGTCTGTATCGTCTGTGGCCACGTACAATGTATTCACTGTCATCGGACCCTATGAATATTGGATCAATAACGCTTATGAGTCACCTATGAGATTCATATCACAAGAAGCTCAAATATCCAGTTTTCAAAAAAGAGTGGAACCGAATTATTTATATTTATATTTACTAATTTTGCAAATGTTTTGATGATTTTTTTCTTATGTCCTTTAAATGTAGAATACTTGACTGTTTAATTTAACGTGGTTCTTTAATTAGGACATCAACACTAAATATAATTCGTTAGGACGCGCCTATTTTCGGTTGAAAATTAGCATAAATTACGATGTTGTTCTCCGTACACTTCCATAAATACAAAACGAATATAGATTTACAGTTCTTTAGTGTAAAGACGATAAACACGGACAAACGGTTTTTCTTTGGATAACACAACTCGTGTAAGTTCAATCCGTTTTATTAATTATTTATTTTTTTAGTAAAATAAAATGAACATAAAATAAACGTTGATTTTAATTCACTTTATAGTTTTTTTTTATTTAATACCATCAAAATTATACTAATTAAACTTGACATTGAACTTATGGAATACATAAAGAATAGACATGCGCATCATAAAGAAAGAATTACGATGCTCCCTAATTATCGATTTGTGCCGTAAATGGTGGCGATATAAATTTAAATCAAATGCTTTTTATTAAATATCAACATATTGATAGAAATAACAAAGCGATATAAAGCAATTGATAGATTATGTAAATTTTTTTCATAAGCTTAAATATGATGTAAATGTTAGAAGAATATAAGTGTTTGAGACCCAACCTTTTGACCCAGTCGAAATGATAAAGATAAAGTCTACTCCCATTCAGTTTGTTACATTGTTTAGTTGTAGTTAAACGTTTGTTTAATACAGTGTTAAATAAATAATGAATTCCGTAAAATTAATTATTAGAAAAATGAGTCAAGCTCAAAAATGGGAGCCTTTGAAGAGTGTCGGTATTATCGGAGTGCCATTCGAAAAGGGACAAAAGAAGTACGGTGTGAGCGTTGCCCCGGCAGCTGTGAGATCTGCCGGTTTGATAAATCATCTTCAAACAATAGGTAATTATTAACATATTATTATTCGACTTTTAAAATAATTAGTTTACAGCAAAAAACGTCCTCTGCTGTCATCTAAGTTTTGTTTGTATTTTATGTGCTCAATACAAATTAAATGTCAAGTTTGAGTAAACACTGTCTAACATATTACGACCCTTATTACGAAAAAAGAAGTCGCATATATCAATTTAGAATATTTTATATGAGCATTGCAAAAAGATAGCTAAAAACGATACCGCGACATAATTCACATGATATTTATATTATGTTCCTTATCTTACTTACAAAATTCAAGTTAAAATACAGACGGTCTGGATGTCAAGGATTATGGAGATATTGACACGACGACAACTGAGGCTGAAGTAAAGGTGGACAACATGAGCCATCTCTCTCAGGTGTCGGCTTGCAACAAGAAACTGTCAGAGCGTGTATCGCAAGTGCTTAAGGACGGAAGAGTGGCTATCACCATCGGTGGAGATCATTCTATAGGGGTTGGTGAGTTTTATTACAACTTATGTATATTCAAGGATCACTTAAAATAAGATAAAGCGCTTGGCTCCTTCTTCTAAAATATGTAGTATGAAATTATTATTTTTAATGTTCATCTCAAATTGTAACAGATCTATAAAAAATTCTTCCCTACAAGTGAAAACGTATCGATGTCGCAAATAAATAAAGCTTTTAACGAAGTCCTCGGCTCCTTTGATCATTTGGAAGTAACCCGACGCGCACTGATTCGCGTCGTTAGCTACGGAACTAGTGCAGGAAATAAATCTTTTTTTGACGTACTCAATTATTTGGACACGATTGGCCGGCTCGGAAAATTGCTTAGGGATTAAGTTAACTTCCACATGTTCACAAGGCCTAATTTTCTCCTCCGATTCTTTGATGACTTTTTCCAGTTAATCGGACCTGCGAATTTCACAAACATGTTTATTTATGTGAAAGCGAACTTGGACTGTATTATCAAGTTGAATCTCTGCATTAAATACCGTCAACTAGATCAGAAAACTCGGACTCCGCCCTTTAAAATATTGGATAATTATGTGTCCAGGTACAGTAGACGGACACTATAAAGTGAATGAGGATATGATCCTGATCTGGGTGGACGCGCACGCAGACATCAACACCAATAAGACTTCGGACTCCGGATCTGTACATGGAATGCCCGTCGCGCTACTCGTAAAGGAGCTAGCTGACTACTGGCCCTACCTACCCACCATGGATTGGCAAGTGCCCAAGTAAATATACCAAAAATTATATATTACTGTCGCAATGATCTTGTCATAAAGAGGAAAGAGATGAAAGTCTTTATTAATTCTACGTTTCGTCTAACGAGTGTGACTGCTTATATTACTCCTTTTTTCCTTCGTCTAACTTACATAAAAGTAAAATACATAAAGGTAAATCATTTACATCGCATCATATTGTTGCGTTTGCCTTTCTTTAGGTAGTGGTGGTCACTTTTTTCGTCAAAAATATAAACCCTTTCATAACCATTTTCAGTACTATCGCCTCTCGTGGAATGAATTAAAAACTTCATTTCAATCTAAAGTTTTAAACACATTCTATAGTGAAAGCAAAAAAACGCTCGGTGCCTCATCAAAAAAATCCTAGGAGAATCCGTAGCAACGAATGTGTTAACTCTAGTTTAAATTAGCTTGCAAAATTTATAATCTAGTTTTAAACTTTTAAATCGCCCCGTTCTCTATTAAAACCGTAGTATTCTTCGTGACTTTATTTATGGTGGAAACTAAACAAATATTTTAAAAATTTTAGGTTTTCAATTAAGAACCTGGGGTATATAGGACTTCGATCCGTTGATGAATATGAAAGATTAGCAATCGAGAAATATAAAGTACCGGCATTTGCAATGGAAGATATTGAGGAGTAAGTTTGCGTTGGAACTTAGTTTTTATGATAACAAATCTTCTTTATATAATTTACCTTCGAAGACCCAATATTGAATGTTTAATTTAATTTCAGACACGGTATAAGGAAATCTATTCAGCATATATTGAAGGTTTTAGATCCTGAAATGAAGAAGCCCATTCATGTTAGCTTTGACATCGATTCTTTGGACGCACTAGAAGCACCTAGCACGGGCACTCCAGGTAACTACCATACACAAGAACAATCATGACTTATTTATTTCTACGCTATGAAAAAACATGTAATCCTACTAATATTTTAAATGCGATTGTTTAGTTGGATGGATGGATGTTTGTTTGAATATATCTTTAGAAGGGCTGAACGGATAGCGATAAAATTTGGCATAGATATAGAACATAACCTAGAAGGACACATAGACTACTAATTAAGTTTTTTTTTTTAATTCCGCACGGACGGGGTCGCGGGCGACAGCTAGTAATGTAATAAAACCTGGAACTGCTGCTGTATAGTGAAATAATGATTCCAAATTATGCAAAAATGTACTTAAAGCAGGTAATGCTTTGTAAATAAACCGTTTATGTTTGTAAGAATTCTTAATCGATTGAATCTTGTGCGTAATATTTCAAACAGTATTATCTAGTGACAAAATCTATGAGATCCTATGTTTAACAAACGAATTACTTTATTAGTGAGAGGTGGACTTTCTCTTCGAGAAGCAATTAACTTGATGGAAATAATTCACGCGACGGGAAGGCTCCGAGCTATTGACTTGGTGGAAATAAATCCAGCGCTCGGCGACGGTTGTGACAGGAAGCGCACGATAGAAGCAGGCCTGTGCGTCCTGAAGGCAGCCTTAGGTTTCTCCAGACGAGGCACTGCGCCTCGGGGAGTCCTAGACTTACCAGTACAAACGCACCATTAAGTTTTACAGGAACAAATTCAGGAAAATTGACTGGAATAAACAACAACAAGAAAAGTGCTAGAATTTGGGTTAATTTTTAGTATATTAAATACCTATTTAATATTATGTATTGTTTTATTTTACTTTATATTAGCACTGAGAACAACACACACAAAATATGGATCAACAAAGGTATTAAAATTTCTTATCTCAAATCTCCTGTTATAAGAAATGTTAAAGGTTGTTTTATGGAGTCATTCCTAATAACCGTATCGAAAGTGATTGAATACAATTTCATTGTTTATAATAATTAAATTGAATGCTTACATCTAAACGATATTTAATCAGTTACGTTATGGAATGAAGATGATTATTAACCTTGTGGTAAGTTTTCTTTCTTGTATTAAAAAACCATCCTGCAATTATATGGTCCTTCTTATTTTTTACTCTGTATCTAGTATGTGTCTATGGTAGAGTCAAGAGACTTATTGTTTTTTTTTTCAGATACTAGGGCTTTTCGCTCTAGGAAGCTGTTTAGAATCCACAACAGAGCATTCAGAAAAAAATCAAACCGAAGAAGAAATGAAAAACATCATATTGAAATATGTAGAAAATATCAAAGATATAGAGTCCCAATACGTTATAAACGAAGCTCTATCGAAATCTATATCACATTATTTAAACGGTAAAGTTAACGTACTGCCCTTGTACAGAATTAGTTTGAAAATTGACAGAAATCCAATAAAAATACCATGGACTATACCGGAGAAGCCCACAGTAGGTGACACTGGCAGTAAACTCAAATATGAATACATAGAGGTTAAGACAACTAAAGAAAAATAAAATCTTTACAAGCACTATAACTGAAACGATTTTTCATTTAACCTCTACTCTCTTAACTTATAAGAAACAATCACATCGACGTCAAAATTATAACTTGTATCTACGTTAATTTTCAAACAAATATATTTATTACAAAAACAAATATTAAGAAACTACAAACGTAGATATTACTTCCTATCAATAAGAAAAACATGTTATTTACTTAGTCCCCGATAACCGGAAACCGTCTCAAATTAAACCTTCCGTTTCCGGTCGGAAGGTCGGAAATATTAACGCCCTCTTTTGTCTAATTTGAAAACTTTGGATCATGTGATTATTATTTTAATTCCTATTTACGTCATAGTTAGTGCTTATTTTAATATCCAAATCAAAAAAATACTGTTACCAGTTACAAAAGACAAATAAAACTAAAAAAATTCCCTTCCCACTCTTTTTCTTATAAGAAAGGAATGGGAAGTGGAAGTGGACTTTCCGGGTGAGAGTATGCATGGGAAGGGAAAATATCTAATATATTTGCATATGCAATTGCGTATGTCTATGGACAACGGTCACTTCGTTATTTCAGCGATTTCAGGTGGCCGCTCGCTAGTTTGCCACCTTATAATATAAAAAAAAACAACCGAAATGATTTAACATAAATTTATTTATGATACCAGCATTGCTTCAACAAATCCCTGTACGCAATAGATCGCAATAGCAATCAAAAAACATGATCTATTATTTAGAGGGTGATTTAAATATTTGTGTATTCATATACAAAGTTATCCAAATAATTTTCTAATCGTATATTGTTTTCAGCAAAAAATCAACAACGTTTGGATTGACCTATTTTTTTAACTTTAAAATTATTGATCTAATTACGTTTTTAGCCCAGATATTTTATTCATGAAATATTGTAACAAAATGGATATTTTAGTTATAAATTACCAAAAGAAAAATTGATATACAATATGATACAATACTGCATTTGCATTTCATAAAAATATTCAATGAAACAAAAAAGAAAATGTTTTTATTCATGTGTCTCGCTAATGGAAACTCCGTCACTGTGTAGCATGTTAAATGATTGGACAAATATAATTGCTTAATTTAAAATATTCTAGATGTACAAACTTCTAGAAGTTGACTTGAGGTCGGTAATGCTTCTGGAACTTGTTGGCCTTCAATGACAGCTTCATCTGCCACTTGGCTTGAACCCTCTTCATGAAGTGGATATCACGCGCTTTCCTGCAATAAATGAAATCCGTACAGTCCATTTTTTAGTTGACTTATAAACCTGGATTGTGGATAATAGACAATATATTCATGGTACGCATGCATGGATTAACTGTGTGTTTCCATTGCCCTTAAAAACTTGCATAAAAACATTGTTCTTTTCAAAAACAATTAGGGGGCTTACAAAATTTTATCTCACCCAGATATTGTTAAGATAATGTGTCCGAGACTAAAATCTGTATGAAATGTATCATCATCCCTGTCTATATCTTTAACAAAAGAGAGATAGCAATATATTTTAAACGGAAATTTTGGTCTCGGTAACACATAGTCAAGGTTCCAGTAATATTCAACATTCAGTTAATTTTATTAATTGACTTTGTATAAATTTTCCAACACTTACTTGGCAGCTAACGCTTGCTCCTTTGGTGCCCATCCCAAGGCTTTGTAAACACCTAGCAACCTGTGTAACTTGCGGTCAGACTTCTTAACAAGAACTTGACTGTTATGGGTCAAATTCTGCTTGTAATACCTAGAATGTTAATATAATTGCGCTTTAAACAAATATACTTTACATATTTGAATATGACAATGATTAAAAATACATTTTGAAAATTCCTGTACTTATTGCTTTAAATACACAGAAATAGAAAATTATCTTTATTCTCTGCATAGTACAAAAAAATAATAATTGGAAGTTGCTTAGCATAGATAATAATAAAAACAATTAATTACCTCATTAGAGACCTGTGTCCAACTACAACACCGGAAGGAAGAACAAGCTGGTAATCAGACTCTTCCAAGTTGGCTGGCTCCTCCACTTCATTATCCACATCCATGTTTTCTTCACCCTCTTTGTGGTCAGGATATGAAGAGCTAAAGTTTTTTATTTTATTTATAAAGATATTTAAAAAAGGACATTCATGTAAAAATTATATTTTAAGTAAACATAAATTACCTATAATCATAAAAATCTGCATATTCCGCTAAAGCAAGTCCTTCATGTAACATTTTACAATGTCCTTTATCAATCATGTGTCCTCGGGCAGCTTCCAATGAATAGAAAGTGCGTCCTGTCTCATTGCACCAAAGACACATGTATCCTTGTGAAATCTATATCAAATAAAGTTAATACAAATGAATTAAATAATCTAAAATAATTATTGTCTTACCGTAAGTTTTAAAACTGCTGAAACACCTATAAAATTAGTTTTGCGAGACTCATTCTCTTTGAAATTTCCCTTTGAACTGATTGACTTCAAACATCCAAAAAAACAGATATAACAATGTTTTGTATAGGTATTACAGCAGTTGATATTCACAGTAAGCCATAATAATTGAACTCATAAAAAAAGGTCTAAGTACTACAATTGGTTATCAAAATTTATATGTTTTACCTTTTCACCCAAATATAACAATAGGCCTTTGACATCAACACAATATTCCACATCAGGAATAAAGAAGGAATGTGCTTCGGACATGTGCTTCAGGTTTTTAACCATATTCTTGCTATGGTGTGTACAAAACAGACAGTCTCTTGGCTTAATTAGGGAATCACTTTCCTTTATACGGCATTCATCCCATTCATCTGAATCAAGCTGAAAATTTTAATTTATTTTTTACTTAATCAAATATAGTTTGTTAAGATTTGATTCTCATACCATACGTAAAATGATGTCATAACTTTTATTATCATTGTGAAATGTTATTATAATGGTACTCAAAGGTAGAAGTTATGTTTTTATAGCTAAAATAATTCTTATAAGACATACCTCTTCAATTTCGGAATCAGTTTCAATATCTTCATCTCCTGAGCCAACAGGCTTTACAACAACGAACTTTTCAGGTTCATTTTTGATAGGAAGTTTATCTACATTATCAATTTTTACAAAACTATCAGTATCAGAATGATTACTATGGTCATCATTTCCCTCTTTTATACTTTTTTCTTCAGTTTGCTTATGCTTTTTACTATTAAGATGATTGTTGTAAGCGTTCTTTGTGTTGAACAATTTTGAACAACATCTGCAATAGGCTGATTCATCTCGTATCGCTTCAGCTGACTCCTTGTGTTCTTTTGCCCGCTGTTCAAATTCTTCTAGCGTAACTGGAGGAATTGAAGCAACTTTTCTTTTTAAATTGTATCTATGCCAGTCTAATTTATAATGCTCTCTTTGTAAGTCAGCTGTTTTGAACAGAACCTGACAAGTGATGCACGTGTAAGAATCAGGCATTTTTATTTAACACAGATTTTGTTACTTTCAAAAATTTTACACTTAATATCGAGTATATCAAAAACTAATTGCTGAAAAGTTCAATGGTTAGCTTAAAATATTTTAAGGAAATGCCGTTTTAAAATTGTGCGACGGAGTATTGATAATGAATGATAAGAAAATGAAATGACATTTTAACATTGAAAGATACAGATAACTGAAAGTAGTACAGTATACAAAGGTGTATAAAGAAAGATGAAAAATATTTAGCTCTACAATTCAAATATCACAAATTAGTAAAACTATAATATTAATTTCATATATTCTCATACGACGAAATTCATGAAACCTTTTTATACTTTTTTCTAGAATAATACTCTTTGAGCAGTATAAATGACAGTTCTGGTTCTGGAGCTTTTGCTTCTTATTTTTTGTTGTCCTTTTGAATATCATAAAATTATTTACGAATTTAGAAGTCCCTAAAGTGACGACTTTTAGGCTATTTTGCGATAAAAACTAACGGTTATAATTTATAAACAAAAGTAACAAAATGTTGGAAGCTGAGGAAGTTGATGTCGATTTCTTTACACCAGTTTCAAGGTTTGTTAACTTCGCTATTTTGTTACTATTTACTATTTTATTAGACGTTTTCACGATAATTTATTTTTCTAGCACATCTTTATCAAAAATATTTAATACTGACAAACATGAAGACAAAGAAAATGCTTCTTTGATATATGTACCACAACCAATTCAAAATGATGCACAGCAGAAAAATGAAGAGTCTAAAGCTTCACAAATAGTCTACGCTGGCGTTTTTTACGCCTACGAATGGTACATACAATATTATTTCTACCAGTATCATACATGCATTAAATAACAATTTTGTATTGGCTGAGCCTCTGTTATATTATTTTATTATATTTCAGGTCTAATAATGCATATGTGTCTAAAGGGAAAACAGGTGCTGCCATAATAAAAAATCAAAAAACTGAACAATGTAACATTATCTTATATGATTCTAATAAAGTTACTTTATCTTGTACAAATATTTCTCCACAACTGAAGGTAGTTATTAAGGAAAATGCAAATTTATCATTTTATGATAACACTGGAAAATATTGGAGTTTATATGGTACTGAAGCAGAAATTTCAAAATGTATTGAAAACTTAAAATTGTTGGGTGTTACTATGGAAAATTCAAATGAGGATAGTAAAAGTAAGCCTGAAATTATGAAATGTGAAGAAAATAACATATTAACTCAAAATCCTACAGATCATAAGGAAAGTGACACAGATTCATCAATAAATAGGAGAACTAAAGATTCAATTTTAAAAAGAATGGCTACTATGGGTCATTCTGTGTTACCAATACAATCTACAAATTATACAAAATCTAATTCTTCTGATTCTGATGAAAGTGCTGAAAAAGTCATAAGGCATAAGCCTCAAAGAAGTACAACAAAAACTAAAACATCTGAAAAAATAGATTGCACCGACAGTTGTACAGAAATTAATTGGAAAAAAACAAGTCCAATATTACAAAACCAAGAAAATATTACGGTTACTTCATATGATCATCGGATTGTGCCAATTTCTAGTTCTAATATAATGAATAATCCAATTCTGAACAACTCAAATGAATTAAATTTATTTATGTCTGAACAAAGAATAAGCAATAGTGAAATAAGAATAAATATGAATAGAATGACAGACAAACTGGATAAAATATTGGACAACATCCAAGGTGTATGCAATCAAGGGAGTAACAATAATATTGGGTATGAAAACAGTATCGTCCAAAAATTATTAGCTGAGTATGAAAATAAAATAAAGTTATATGAAGATTTCATAATGTCAAAAGGATTGGATTGTAGCATTTTAAAATCATCACAAAAACAAGAAAATGATGACTTAAATGTCTACAAAAATAAAATTACCGGCCTTCAAAACATTATTGAAAAACAGGAAGAGGAAAATTCTAGATTGTCCAATGAATTAAAGTCTTTGGAAGAAAAATATAAAAGATTATGCAAAGAAAGAGAAGAAGAAGATGACATTAAAACAAAAGAAGTAACATTCTTAAGAAATGAATTGAATATGAGAAATGAGGAACTTAAAACTCAAGCAGAACAAATGGAAAATAATATACAGCGGAATAAAGATGATATTAAAAATAAACTTAAATCTATAATGAATAGAACATTCCATGCTCTGTCTGCCAATTTCGATGTCAATGAAAGTTACACTGGACCAGACGTTAAATCATTACTAGCAAGTGTTATTAAAAAAGAGACAATAGGAGCATTAAATGATGTATAAATTATGAATGCAATAAAAATGTAAATTTGTATTTCTTGTTTTAATCTTATATTTATGCTATTTAGGCTCAGGCATATTTAGTTAATTAATTAGTCATAATTTTTAACTTATAGCAATATTCGAGCACGATCGACGTAAGTGGCGCGCCTCAAAAGGACTGGTACTAACATTCAAGTCGGCTCATACATCTCGCTCTCACTTCTATTTGGTATGGAACCAACTTAAGACGTTTATAAAAGACTAAACTGACACTAACTTACCTAAAATGGAACCGAGACTTAACTGCGGTTTTTATTTGCATTTTATACTATCTACTACTTTTCTAAAGAGTTCCTGGGTTTGGATTTAATCTACTTTATCAAAGCCCATAGACTAAGAAAATAAGCATAGATTTTAATTTCAGCTGTCAGCGCACGCGGAAAAATGTCATGTCAAAAAGCCAAAAGTACCAAAATATGAGCCGTAGTTAATTTCTTTACGCTGCTCTTTTTACCTTAATATATTACCAGTTTAAATATAAGGAATGTTTTATGTACTGACATAATTTGTAGCTGTTGAAAAGATAATTATTAATGTTTCTTTTCATTAATATTTTAACAACAAACCTTTTGATGTTTGCATTGGTATTTAATTCATTAAAAAATATTAATAGCGAACAAATCTTTTACCAACTAATAAGATGGAAGAATTACAAAATTCTTTAGCTCAATACAACGAGCAAGTAAGGCTTAATTTTTTGTCATGGAAATGAATAAATTATGTGCAATCTTAACTATGAAATCTTGCGTGTATAGTTACAGTTTGTTAATGATTCCCTTGCGGACGCTCAAGGTGATATGCGAGAATCGCTGTTGACACTAAAGTCACAGATGCAAAAGCTGATCCAAGTTACACAAGAAAGCCTGGATGCACAATCTAAAGAAACGAAAAAAGAGCAAAATGAGGAAAACAATGTCTTGGGAACTGATAGTAGCAAGAATGAATTGGATGATGAATATGCGTTGTTTATGGTAAATAAATAAAAATTTAACTCGTACTTTTCCAAGTCATCTAAGTTAATTATTTCATGTTGCTATTTTGAATTGTACATTAGTTATGTCTTGTTAATTTCAACTCAATTGTGGGTACTGTAATTTAATTTTACAGCAAGAAATGTCTAAAAGTGGAGCATATAGTACAGAAAACAATCAAGATTCTATGGAAGCATCAAAAGAGGATGATAATAAAAGTGATATAGAGGTAAAAGTATAAACATCATAATACAAACCCTTATATAATGGGGAACATTGCCTATATTATTCATTGTTCAAATGTTTTGGAAACTAAATGTCTACCTTATGAAAATAGGACAAACTAATGGTCGATACACCGTAATATACAATGAAAAGACATTTGTCTCTAAAGGGATCCCATAAAAATATAACTCTTCATCTTCAGGGTCAATATATAGCAATACTTTATCTAAAAATTATTTCAAGGATGAGCTAGCAACTCTGCTGGGTATGAAATGTGCTGTGTATCATACACACAAGTGGGGTGGACAGCCGAGCCTGCACAATGCCATGGTCAGCACTGTAGAGCCGCACCAGGATAATGATCAGTTTTCTGATCTACAGGTATGACTTTAAAACTTCTTATGAATCTTTTTCTTTAACTTTCTATCTATTCCACAAAGTTAAATAAATTAAATGGTAATCAAAAATATATATACCTTTACTTGTTGCATAGTAGAGATGGCCTGACACATAAGATTCAAGGAGTTGCAAAAGTTAAACTGCAACTAACTAGTGAAATGCTAATGCAAAGACTCTTTATGATTTTTCTAGTTTCAGTTTTAGGGTATACCAAGGTATATTTTCGTTTTGTTAAGACTAGCTGTCGTCCGTGACTCCGTCCATGCAGAATTAAAAAAAAAATGTAGCCTATCTATTCTTACAGTCTATGTTCTATTTGTGGGCCTAATTTCATTGATATCCAATTAGCCGTTTCAGAGATACCTTCTAACAAACAAATATACACAATTATAATATTAGTAAGATGTATATTGTAATTGTCTTCAGGTCAGAGTACTGTTTACACATCCAACACATGCAGAAATGTTGCCATGTCCATTTTATCTTGATGGGGAGTGCAAGTTTAGTGATGAGCAATGTAGGTGAGTTTGTCACATTATAATATTGAATATTCTTTTAAAAATATAATACAGTTTTCATGCTAATATATTTTTATGCACCCAAATTAATGTATTGTTTTATTTTTAAAGATATTCTCATGGGGCGTTAGTACAATTGTCCAATTTAAAGGAAGCTATAGAACCTAATTATGAATCTATAAAACCAGGAAGTAGGATATTGCTCAAACTAAAGCCAGCTGATGGTGAGGTATGTAAAAGTATTTATTATTTCTTATACATTATGTAATAGATGACACAAAAAAATATAATAACTTTGTTAAGTAAATGTGGATTATTTAAACTAATGTTTTAAGATACAAAATTTATAAGAGCACTTATATTTTTACAGGATATCAGTGTAGCAAAGAAATCCACTGAAAAGTATCATTTATGGCACATAGCTGTAGTCAAAAGTGTTGACTTTGATAACAAAGAATGTGTAGCAAAATTAGAGAATGGTGTGAAAACTGGCGAGAAAAGAAAAATATCGGCGGATGAATTTCATTTGTCATTTGAAGAAATATTTCCATTAAGCAGTAAGTTTTTTTTTTTTAGGAAGTTGCATTATTTATAAGTCTTTTTCTTGAAGAAAATGTTTAGCATCCATGGATAGCCAGCAATCTTTAATTGTCTTTATGTATATTCAAAACATGCGATAACTATTATTTCTATCCACCTTCTGTGCCTAATTTTTTCATAATGAACTTAAGGCAGGAGTTTGGTTATCTATTAAATCTTTTTTATTATGTTCTATAGATGACAATGAAGATGTGGAGTCAGACGACAGTCTCAGTGACACGGAGTACCCCGAGAACAAGTTGTGTCGAGCGGAGTCTGAGAGTGCAATCCCCGGCCGCCCAGAACTGCTTGCTGAGAAAAGTGTGCTTGCTAACGCACCTGCTATAGGAGAATGGGAGCGATATACAAGAGTGAGTATGTATCTATATTATTATGTAATACATCTTTTTTTATTCAGGTGCTTGTAGTAAAACAAAATAAGTACTTTTTCCTCCCTTAAAAGAACTAACAAAAAAAAATTCATTTCATTGTTTCTTGGTTGTAGGACATATATTTGTTGTCCTTTTCACATATTATACGATTGTTTTCAGAGACTTGAATATATTGTAATAGTCGCTATAAAGTTTGAATCATACATAATGTTTGAACATGTTATGTATGTGTGTGAGTGTGTGTGCGTCAGGGTATCGGTTCGAAGCTGCTACTGTCGATGGGTTACGTGCCGGGGAGCGGGCTGGGCGCGGCGGGCGCGGGCCGGCTGCAGCCAGTGGAGGCGCGCGCGCTGCCCGCCGGCCGCACGCTCGACCACTGCATGCAAATCTCACAAGCCGCAAACGATCCGCTCAAGGTCACTATATTAACTATTAGTTTTTTTTTTGTTCAAAGTATAAACAATTTGAGTTAGTCGATCTATTCACACTGTCCAAGTAATACATCTGTGAAAAATTACCATATTGTATAATGTCCACTCAGTGTCATCGGCACCATCGGAATAAAAGTGTTATTATTTTTTTAAAGATAAATTTATTTATTTTAAAAAGACCTTTTAGACTTTTTTAGCAATAATATATAAAGTACTGTTTGCTTATGGATTTCATCTTCTTAATAATAATTATTATTGGCGCGATTGTACATAACCACAAGGGGATGTTGTAACAGAAACCACATCAAACACAACCTGATGCTAGAAAATGTTTTACTCTAGTCAAAAGATGCTTTGCATTGAAAATTTTCTGCAAACTTTTTTTCTAAATCTTGTGTTTCATTGATTTGTGCAGGTTGAGCAGAAATTGAAGCGATTACAAAAAAGAGAAGAGGAAAGAAATAAGAGAGCGTACGAACGAGAAAAGGAGCGCGAGAGAAGAAACGTCTTCAACTTTCTGAATCGAACTCTCGGCGATTCGAGTGACAAGCCTGAAACATCAGACACGTCACTAACCGACATAAAACAATCCACAAACAAAGATCTTAATATAGAACAATTTAAGATCGCACAGGACAGCAAGAGACTTGAATTGGAATTAAATAAATTAAAGAATTCTTTGAATAAATATCCGTCGGGTTCAAGTGTATCGCTAAATATTAAAAGTCAGATTGCAGAAAAGAGCAGGGAATTGGACAATCTTAAAAGTAGAGAACAGAATATTGAAAAAGAACAAAGACGACGCAAAGATAAGAAGAATATGACAGTGTTTTAAATATTAAGTACATTATGTATTATTTTATTAAAAATAATCTTATCATGTTTAATAAAAAAAATTAAGATAAACAATGTGTTTTTATATACCTTTTTTACGATTATTCAGCTAAGAACTCACAAATAATTTCAACTGGGAATGACTCATTAACCGTTGATTTCCGAGAGTCAAATCTTTGACAAAGCAGAGCTAAAAGTTTTGAGGTTTGATTTCAGAAAGCCACAGTAAATAAATAAAACAAATATTTAATTATTACAAATATTTATATTTACATGTGATGTTTTTAGTTTTATAATAAGCGTACATGGCATATAATTACAATTAATAATGACATTTCACTATAAATTAGATTTTTGTACTATCAAACAATATTACGAAGTACTTAAAAATGTTAACGCAGAGAGTGACTAGCAAAATGACATTTGCTGCTTTTATTATATTAAAAAAAATGTAATAATTTTAGCGACAGTGGGTCAAAATTTATTTAAAACTTACAATTATCTATTATTATCTATGTTATACCTAGTTTAGGTATTTATGAGGCTTTTAAAACCTCAATAAAGTTTAAAAGTGTTACCGCATTGATGTAGCATTTTCCGCGACTAAAAAATTCCGTTACAACTAGAATGAGTATATGAAATAACGATTAAATGTTACATAATAATTATTATTCATTGCAATTAATTTTAATCTTAAATTTGCTACGTGAGCAATATATTTGTACTCTTCATGATTCCAAAACAATTATTACATTTGCCTATATTGCCAATACACTAAAAGATCTATATGTTCAAGATTTAAATACATAAATGAGTCATAGTGAAGTATAATATATAAAACTCATAACATTTTGATGGATAAAACGGACTTCAAACTTTTTGTTGTTGATCTCGACATTATATTATTTAACAAGAAAAAGATTGTGCTGTTTAAAAATAATTACAACTGTCTCTTGAATTTTTACACATCTCCAACTCATTCATTCTCTTTGAATAAAACAGAGATAGAAATAGAAATCCACGGATTTCTTTTTTTCTTTTTGAACATAATTTAGAATATTTTGTAAAATAGTAAATTCTCACTATCATTTATGTCTTTAAATCTTTAGTATATGAATTGTCTGTGACCCACTAAATGTCTTATTCTTAGAAACAAAAATTTTCAATGCATTTATAATATAAAATTCATTGAACTAGTAAAAGACAATGGAGTAAAATTTTAATGTACTTTATGCATAGTGCGTTGGACACGTGCATTTGTCATGTTGGATAAACACTAACTGACGCACTCAAAGACGTTTAATTTCAACTAAGAAAGGACCCTTATGTGACCATTGTCACTAACAAAGGACCCTTAAGTGACAATTGTTACTAACGGAGGACCCTTATGTCACTATTATCACCAAGTGAAAAATGTGACTAAGGGAGGCCCTTGAGTGACCATTGTCACTAAAGAAGGCCCCTTATGTGACCATTGATTGTCTCTGAGTGCTACAATAATTAACTATTTTTGTTTCTCTGGTCCACTCTAGTAATACCGTTACACTGCAAATTAAACATTCATTGATAATTTAAAGGATCTCCTTAGAATTTCGTAATAGAAATTCTACCGAAGTTTATTTACATTTTTTTTTATTTTTCCCATCACCATCCACTCTGGCCTCACGCATGCTTAGTTAAAATTTGTTTAAAATAATTAGTGCCTATATATTATATTTAATATAATACATTAGAGAGTGACAAAATAAAAGAGAGACATTGTTTTGTACTAGACTAAAAGATTTTCATATAACACGTTAGATATAAGTACATAATATATATGAGACTCCTTGACGCGCCATTTTAACGATGTTTAAAGTTTTTTTTTGTCTTTATTGTGTTAATTGTGATTAGAAATGGAATTATACGAGGAATCTTTGCAAACTGTCTCGTCGACATTGTAGTAGCAAATGAGATTCAATACAACACTATCAATAGCGATGCAACAAATAAAGCAAATACCATTTCATTTATTCTGTGCTTTCTTTTAGACAATCAACTATGGCTTTTTATCTGCATTGGCTATTAAATCGCTAGTGATGACGTCACTTCTTGCAATGTATCCCCGGAATGATCTCACAAATTGGGCACGTTAAAGTTGCGTTTCCATTGAAATAAAAAGTGCTTTACAAAGGTACGTTTACATGGAAACGACCAAAAGATTAACCAAATGCAAATATGTAATCTAAACCCACAACAAACAATTCATAAGTTTTATCTGCTTTTTAAACAGTATTAAGAAACAGTATTATTCAATGTAACACAACTTTACCGGCTCTTTACTTGTATAACAAAACTTCATCGGCAGCGGTGTAGTCTTCAATATTTCAGAGTAAACACGCCTGTATTGTGTGAGGTTTAAGTGCGACATTCGCGTGCTAGAGTTCAGTGCGCAGACGTCGCACGACACACAGCATGGCGTCGTCTACATTATCAAACACCGGTACGGAGGAGCGCCGCGCCAGGTCCACGAGGTAATGTCGACCACGATTGTAATCTTTTACTGCTGCTTCACTGTACTGTTGACAAAAAAAAAGAAATTAATCATCAGTTTTCTTT